TTTTTTCAACGTTTATTTATTTTTGGGACAGAGAGAGACAGAGCATGAACGGGGGAGGGGCAGAGAGAGAGGGAGACACAGAATCGGAAACCGGCTCCAGGCTCCGAGCCATCAGCCCAGAGCCCGACGCGGGGCTCGAACTCACGGACCGTGAGATCGTGACCTGGTTGAAGTCGGACGCTTAACCGACTGCGCCACCCAGGCGCCCCTATATATTGCTGAATTTAAATTAGCTGGTGTTTTGTTGAGGATATCTGCATATACGTTAATAAGAGAATGGTTTACAGTTTTCTTTTCTGCTGATTTCTTTGGTTTTCTTACCAGGGTAATATTGCCTTATAGACTGAGTTGGGAAGGGTTCCCATCTCTCCTATTTTTGGGAAAAGTTTATAAAGAATTCTATTAATTCTTCTCTAAATGCTTGAAAGTACTCACCTCAAGTGAAACCACCGCTACTTGAATTTTTCTTTGTTGGAAGTTTTTATATTACTAATTCAATCTCTTTACTTGTTGTAAGTCTATTCAGATTTTCTATTCTTAAAACATTTTCAGTAGTTTGAGTCTTTCTAGAAATGTGACCAATTCATCTAAGTTATCTAATTTGTTGACATACTGTTGTTTATTTGCTTACAATTTTTCTATTTCTGTAGAGCTGGTGGCAATATCCCTCTTTTGTTTCTGATTTTAGTAATTTCAGTCTTTGTCAATCTAGCTGAAGGGTTATCAGTTTGTTGATCTTTTTAAAGAACAACCTTTGGGTTTTGCTGCTTTTCACTGTTGTATTTCTGTTCTCTATTTCATTTATTTCAGTGATTTTGCTTTCTGATTTCATTCTATTGCAATCAGAGAAAGTATTTTGTATGGTTTCAATACTTTCACATTTATTGATGATAATTTTTATTGCCTAGCATATGGTCTATGCCAGAAGATGTTCCATATATACTTGGGAAAATGTGAATTCTACTGTTGGGTGGAGTGTTCTCTCTGCCCTTCCCCCACTCACGCTCTCTCTCTCTCTCAAAAATAAACATTAAAATTTTTTTCAAAAAATCCCTTATATCATAGCTTTAATTACTGACATATTTAACTTAAATCTTTTTCCATTTTATTTTTTATTGTAGTAAGTTAAACTTTTCATTTTTATTACTTCAAACTTTAGACACTTCTTATCCTTTCAACATCTGAAAGATACTCTTTTTTTCAAGTTGTAAAAATAAAATTTTTCTTATCCATGGGCCATAAACCATGGAAATATAGCTAACTTTTTTTCCCCTCCTCTTTTACAGATTAAACCTCCATCACACATACTATGGGTTGTGCTAAAGTAAAGATGCAAACTTATTCAGTAAAAATCAGAGACAGAAAATGTCTACAGCTATATGTAATGGATTACTGGGTACATTAACTCATTGGATTTGCCACAGCTCTACACCGAACGCTGAACTCTGCACTACTGAGCAGGATGACATACTTCGATATATCACATAATTCACATGAGTCATGCACTCCAATAGTATCAACAAACCATTCAATGTTGTATTTGCCTCTATTTCCACACTTGATGGCCATCCAGTATATAATGCTTTATTCACTTATTTTGATGGTTCTATGATTTAAATTGATGTTCCTACAAATTGCTTACCAGTTTTCCCAATATAATTTAAAGGAAAAAAAAACCCTCTCTCTTTTAGACTAGAGACATGACTGTTAAATGCAGTTTCCAATACTAGACTAGATCCTGTGCTAGGAGGAAAAATGATGGCACAAATGAAAAACAATGGTATAAAAATAATGGTATAAATGGTAAAAATAAAGGTATAAAGAATAATAGTATAAAATAAGGGTATAAGGGGACAATTAACAAAATTGGAATAATGAAGGCAGATTAGACATATGTATTACAATGTTAAATTTATTGAAATTGATCATTGTACTATAGTTATTAAAGAATATTTGTGGGGTGCCTGGGTGGCTCAGTCAGTTAAGGTTCTGACTCTTGGTTTTGGCTCAGGTCATGATCTCATGGTTTCGTGAGTTCAAGCCCCACATTGGGCTCCATGCTCCCAGTGTAGAGCCTGCTTGGGATTCTCTGTCTCCCTACCTGCCCCTCATCCACTCACGCTGTCTCTGCCTCTCTCAAAATAAATAAATAAAGTTACTTGTCATGTTAGGAAAGAATATTTGTCATGTTAAGAAATACAAACTGATGTGTTTAAAGGTGAAGAATCATGATAGAATACATAGTATTCTAGTGGATCAAAAAGACCTCACAAAACAAACAAATAAAAAACCAAAGAAACACCACATTCATATAGAACAATGGTTCTCAACTAGGGATGATCTGCTTCCTCCCCAAGGACATTTGCAGTGTCTGGATATATTTGGGGCGGGGGGGGGGTACTACTGGCATCTGATCAGTGGAGTCCACAACGCTACTAATAAGCGCCCTACAATGTACAAATCAACCCTCACAACGAATGATCTGGTCTCAAATGCCAACAATATTGAGGTTGAGAAACCTTGATGCAGAGAAAGCAACTGGTAG